AAAAAATATTTTTAAAATAGTGTATAAAAATAGAATGAAGGTGACAATAGATGGTGTAAATAGATTCGTAGTTGAAACATTTACAAACTAAAGAAGCAAAAATAAAAGATAACAAAATTCATAGTTGTTACATGGAAAAGAAATATAAAGTTAGATTACAAAATCATAAGAAATCACAGTCACACAAAATGTACTCAAAATGGAGATAAGAAGATGGAAAAGAAAGACAAAGAAAGAAGCAAAAAGATAACTCTAAAAATGGACTAGTGTGTTGAGAAGTTGAATGAGGAAGGAGAAGACAAAATAAATATCTAAGTTATGAGAAAAAGGAAAAAAATAAGTTACAAATTGATGACTATATTATACTTGAAATAAAGACTTTTAAGTTTGGACCATTGTTGTTTAGTTATACAAAAGTAATAAAAATTTAAACTTATCTCATTTTCGGTTGGGTTCGGTTTTTAGCGGATTTAAAAATTCAAAACTGAACCCGCCCAATATAACCCGTATAAAATCAAAATTTTAACCCGATTTACCCATAAGACCCGCCCGAACCCACCCAAAAACAATATTTTTTATCGGGTTTTTCGGGTTCGGTTCGGGTGTCGGTTTAATGCTCACCCCTAGTTTCTTTATTTCTATTAATACTTAATTTTAATTCTTCTATTTTAAAATAAAAATATTTAATCTATTTATTTTTAAAAATACAAAATTTTAATTTTATTATCAATTTAATATTCGTTAATTATTAAATTTTGACTTTATTCATTGGCCTATCATAACTTAATTTAATTAATGATATTTAATGACATAATATGTAAAGATAAAAATAAAAAAAATAATATAAAAAATCTTTGTTTCCATATATTTTAGCGACTGACCTAAACTCTAAGGTATAAATAAACAATAAAATTTAATAATTAATAAATATGAATTCAATGAGAAGACTAAAATCTCTTATATTTAAAATTAAAGAAACTGAATGTCTCAAATTTAAAATAAAGGGAAAATAACAAATTGACAAAAACAGCAGAATTAAAAATAAAATTGTCTTTTTTAAAAAAAATTGCATGAAAAATATTTTTCAACTAATAAAGAGAAGACTACCAATGCATATTTTATCTCTCCTAATAAAATCTTCTTAATACATACAAATATGGAATCGAAACTTTGTTAGCACACTTAAGAATCTCAACCATTTCATGTTTTTCATGACTTAGATTAGGACACCCCTAAAATTATATATATAAAAAGTGAAAAGAAAATCCCGATCCTTGAAGAAGGAATTGTCCCTTGAGAAACGTTAATTTTCTATCCAATCCACGACGTGGGAACAGCACACAACCACAAGCGATTAGTTCAACCCATACATAGCATTGTGGGCCCCAACATGTCAAATAGAAAGAAAATCGACTTTAGAATAGCTTTGTCTCTTTCTTGTTTCTAAGCTTTTCAAACTAGCCTTGCGTAGCAATAGCAAACTCCTAGCAAATCCTAGAGGCTCTGCAGCCCACAGATTTGTTCCAAGTCATAGCATTATTTTTCACCCTTTATTTTCATTTGACTTTTGTTATCAGATTACTAATCTTGAAACGAAGTGTTCATTGAAAAATCATTGAAAACGAAAGTGCCCTTTGAGGCAACTTTGGGAACAAAAGTATAAGCTATATACTAATGAAGATTTTGATGTTGCCTTGCATGAGATATTAGCTACTAATCATAGCCTTCAATTCCTATAAGAAGTGAATAAGAAAGTATTCAAGAAATAGCCCCTCTTGGCCAACCCATGATCACATGCAAAAAAAAAATACTATAAAAATCTTTCTTTGAAAAAATGAAGCTATTGGAGCAGAATACATATATTCCAGTTCTATCTAACCTGCAGAGTTGCGAGTTTGTGCTTTACCAATAAGCACTGCTTCGCCACTTGCAGCTTTCTTTGTAGCAAGTTCCTCTAAGCGATTCCATGTGGCTTCACGCCCTGCTAACACTTCACTTTGCTTTGACTCGTCTTCCTCAAACTTTTGTAAGCATTCTTTAGATAGATCGGCGTCAACATCATTAAAAATCTTCCTCACATTTAAAGTCAAACTATGCACAGCTTGGTTCCAATGACTTCTAGCATTTCTCTCCAATGCAGGGAAGATGATGGGCAGTATCACTTTTCGGTTTTGTTTGATTAAGTTCATGATGTGATCATTGTTCCACAAGAACAAGGCTCTTTCTGCCACCTGAGGAAAAAGAGACACAAAATACATGTTTGTAGACTTTCAAGGGAGAATAGAATATTGCAACTGCAACAATAATTCAGGTTAAGACTAAGGAGCAGTAGTTTATGTGTTTGTGTTGTTTCTTCAATTAAATAATTCACCTAAATAACCTGTATGTATTAAAAGATCAGTATTAAAAATCAGCAATGTATTATCAAGGTCAAACTCTAATTTTGATTGGAGAACCACAAAACACCTAAAGTACAACACCCAAGTTTTCTCCCAAGACAAGATAACGAAATTAAAACCAAACAGATCATTTGACTAACTCTTGCAAATGGCAGTAGGCAAAGCAACAGCAATTCAAAAAAATCCACTAAAAAAAACATTATGAGAAAGCTATGGAGCATTTCACATTCATGCAAACACTTTTATAATTAAACGAGCACCATCTGAACGTTCTACACATTTTCTTTTCATTTATAAGGTTTAGGGGAAGGGTGGAGTGCAGGGAAGGATGGATTCCGATTAAATGTTGAGATTTTGGACTACACAGAGGACCTTAGCTGCCCTTTCCCATGAACATAACGGAAGTAAAATTGTATATTCAAGTTCTCGGAGAAACTGCCAGAAGACTTGGTTAATCCAATCAAAGAATGAAATAGAAGCTCCAAAAAATCAACTTTCTGGATGACAGTTGTCATCATCAGTGTTAAAGCTGAATGAGATCTAATATTATAAGGCTCATATAATCGTAGTTATTTCATATTTGCCGAGATCCCACAGTTCACGAGTTAGGCACTACATAATAACGACTTCAAAATCATAATATTATAAAACTGATATAGGAACATCAAATCAGTTATGTACAATTACCAGTGGATTTCAACTTCAAATTTTAAGAGTGGACTACTATAGGGAATTACAATTTACAAACACCAAACTATAATCATCAAGATCGATGTTGCCCAATAATACTGTAACTAATTGCATCTATTCACATCACATGGTCTTTTAAATTTTAGACAGCACAAAATCGCAAATTACAGGATGAAAGCTAACGGTCTCTTCAGATATAAGCATCAACATTCAAAATGCAGCCATAAAGTAAAACATAACCCACATCGACAATGTAGTCCATATAATTATTTATAGTCACAAATAGATTTTCAAAGAGGGAAATTATAAAACAAAAAACACATCTATTCACATTCCGATCAAGTAGGTACACCATTAATGAATAGCCAGCCAACAAAAGATAAAAAATAAATCGGTTGTTACATCACAAAAATAATATAATCAATATCCTCTTCATAGGGAAAGGACAGTCACATATATTCATTTACTAGTACAGTATATAGAACTAACACAAAAGTTACCTTTAAGACCTTTAAATCTTAATACAGTAACATAAACGTTCCTGAATTATTAAAGGATGTACTCTAGCAGCGAGTAACTTGGCAGAGGTGATGCTAAACCAGATAGACATATGGATAAAAAATAATTATTGACCCTTGATAAAATTATTATATAAATTAATTTTGTTTTTCAGCATGAGATTTTATTTACATATGTTTCTTCCGTGCTTAGCTTTTATGTGAGAGGGAACATAAGAGAAATTTAATAAGTTATTCTAAGGCCCAACGGGAGGAGAGAGAGAAATAGAGAAGGGAAGGGATGTCTCCGACTGGATAGAAACATGAAAGGTACAAAACAAATATATATAAACTTACAGGCAAGATCAAAACCTTTTCAGGAAGATTTCAAAGTAGAACATGATTATACACTTGATAATTCTATGCTCTGTCCAACAGTGTAGTGACAATTGACATAAGACAAAGATTTACTGAAAGCTGGCTGCACTCCTATATTATATAAGTACATGGTAACATGATGTGACGACTTCTAGATAAAAGCAAGTAACTAGGAGATGTATATTATTGCATGTAGGATTGGTTACTTATAGAAACTGATAAGACCCACACCACTAAAGCTAGTCATTTTAGTTAAGTGCTTAGGGCCTTATTCATACTTCCGATATTGGGCTCTAAGTCTCATGCCTTACAATTGAATTCTAAGATCCCACCTTTTACTAGCCTTGACAAATAATGCAATGCTAGCATCACCATACACACAATTCATTTGTAGCTAAGAGACAGGGTAGAAAGCTCAAATAACAATTGATAACAATTGAGAAAACCACATTACAAAATTAGCCATTATAATTAGATAACCGAAGGCCTTATAATCCCATATTTCCAATATGGAGCTCAAGTTCCAAATCTTGCAATTGGATCCTAACATAAGCTAACCATACAAACTCCCTCCTGATACTATGATTATTTACTTTTAAAGCCCAAGTCACTAGAAAGCATAGATTTGACTGATTTCCATCATTCCATGTTTAAGAAGGAATAAAAAAGGAAACAAAAGGATTCGATTTACTTTATTATGATAATTGTTATTATATTTCAATTTCAACTCCAAAACAAAAACATGCATTAAGCTATAGGAGGATGAAACAAAGTCTCCCCTTTTCTTGCTAGTTAAAACAGTTTATCAACTAGATGAAGTGAATAAGTTATAGTATTCAGCAATCAGTACAAAGGAAGTTGCCATGGAGACTTAATTTGAAAATCAGGTGTAATTTGCTCATGAAATTAAGAGGGGTAAGAGAAAGGGAACTAGAGGAAAGCATTGAAAATTTTATACCTGAAAATGAGGGCTGCTCAAACAACGGGCAATGCGACGAAACAATGGCACCATACAACGCTGGAATTCTGGGGGTTGAGTTGCTTCCAAGACTTCTTCCAATTCACCCAGGAACATAACTTCCTTTGAACTATTTGTTATTGGCCAGTACTTCAACAATCCCCTAATGATTGTATCAGCAAGCTTGCAGTCTTTCTCCACAAATTGGGTAATGCAGTAAGACAACTGCTGATGATACATTGCCAAGCACTTTGGCTTGTGCAGCGGAATCAGTATGCGAACAAGAAACAGTTTATGTTCTTCCTTCAGCGGCAGTGCAAAACCATTGATGATGCTCCCAAGAATTTCCAAGAACTCAGCAATCCCATTGTGCTTCTCAGTCTCAAAAATGAAATTAAAAAACACATTGTTGATGGCTTTCCTAATGAAAGGGCGATGCGCCATGAATTTGCCATATATGCGATGCAGCGTCATCTTCAAGTACTCCCTCTCTCTGGGATCCTCGGAGTCAAACAAATCCAGCAGCTTCAAAATGAAGGACTGATCAATGTATCTCTTGGCCAACTTAGCATCCAGCTCCGGCGATGCCACGAACCTCAGAAAAAGCTCATACACAATCTGCAAATGAGGCCAAGCAGGGTCCATCGAAGGCTCCTCTTCCTCCACATCAACGCCATCGACAATCTTGTTCTCGCGCGGCTGAGGACTAAGCGTTCTGAATATGTTGGCAGAAACCATTTTCACAACCTCCTGCATCAAATTCTCTGCGAACTTGGCATTCGCAGAGGTCACATAATCCACAAGTTCCACCAAGGTCTGTCTTTTAATCTCCTTCTCCTTGAGGTGCTTGGTGGGGTCAGTGAAGTCAAACACCACACAACACATCCTAAGCTTCTTGATGAACAAGGTTGGCTTCTCAGAAGAGGGAACATCCCTGAAAGCAGGCAATGCTTCATAGGAACCAAAATTCCCATTGCTGGGGTTGTTGTTCTCATTCACAACCACCGGTAATGGAACTCTGTGACCATGATTATGCCCCGCGGAAGAAGAATTCCCGGGTTTGGTGCCACCTGAGGTAACACTAACAGAATCACTACCCCTAGAAGTTGTAACACCGTGATGGTTTCTTCCACTACCACCATGTTCAGAACCTTTCGATGATTTTCGAGGGAGTTTACTAAATATCTGTTTGAACATAATTCATCAAACGAATACACACAACAACCCTTACCCCTTTAAACTTTTCTTCTAATCTGAAAAAAAAAAATCAAAAAAATAATAAAGGGATCCCTAAATTCTGATAACTTCACAATCACAACACGATAATAAGAAACACGCAATTGGGTTCAGAACCGACCAGACACAAATGTTGTTTGTGGACTTCTCCAATAACTGATACGATGTCGTTCCTTGTCAGAAAAAAAGAGAAAGAAGAAACCCTTTTACTTATCTGGGTAGAAAAAGAAAACCCAGTTCTGTGATTCTACCATGATGAAGCATAGCATGCCCAATTCCACGTTGATGCGGAAAAATTTCACCTTTGCGATCAGAAACAGTGGTGCAGGAAGCAGAGATCAGCCTCGATGATCAGAAACGGAAACAGAGTATTGAGAATTCTTCGGAATTTTCAAAATTCGAAAGGAAACACAATCTTCGGGGCTTGAAAAGCGAGGGCGAGACGAAGAATGTTCTGCAGATTTCCCTTTTTTCGTTTTATTTTTCTTGTTTTTTTTTTTTAATTTTTGACGAATATATATATATATTTATTGGCTTTAACTTAAAAAATAAATAAACGGGAATTTCAACTTCGAAGAATCTGACCATCTGTATTCTGTAGATAATAGAAAATTAAAATAATTGGGAAATAAAGAAAAAGTCGGAAGAAGCACATGCGGTGCGAGCGTGTACCTACTGCGGATTAACAATCACGAGAGAAAAAGAAGAAACTAAACAATACTAACTATTGAATTTAATTAGAATATTTTCAGAGTAAATTTAATTCAAAAAATCATACCCATATATCACGATTAAAGATTAATTTATTTTTTTTATTTATAATTATGTAAATAACTTTAATTTTAAATATATTTGTTTATAAATGTTACATTTATGAAAGAAAAGTTATTAAGATTTTCATTTTCCAAAATATTAAATATGTTAATTTATTTAATACTTTTTTATAATATATTAAGAAAATTCATTAAATATATAATATAATTTATTCAGAATGTAAGAGTGATATAAATTTTTTATATATAAATCGACATGTATCACTTTTATGATAATTATTTTAAGAATTAATTAAAATATGCCGATGTCTCGTTATTAGTTATTAATTATCAAAAATCGTGAAATTTTTAAGTTTTATAATAATTATTTTAAACATCATATTCATAATCATTTTAATTATTAAATAATATAAAAAAAAAATTATAATATAATTTCTCTAAAGTGATCGACTCATTTCCGCGTGTAAAGTAAATAATTGTAATCATTGATAAGAAATTTAATAAGTAAATGCATAATAAAACATGAATATATTAAAATATTCATAATTATTTTTATTAACAATTAATATTATTAAAAAAATTATCACTTTAGAAGAGTCCAATGCAAAAATCTTTATACGAAAATTAAACTCGCAATAATATATATAAATCATCTTTGTCATATCATTTAGTAAGAAATTAGGGTAATGAATAATGATTATTAACATCATTATAATTACTGGTGTAAAAAATAGTTTGTACTTTAGTGTATTTTTAAATAAGTAAAAATAAAAATAATTAAAATTAAATAATAATTAATGATTAATAATAAGATGTGATTTTTATGTAATTATATAAAGTAAATAGAATATGATATAAAAAATTAAAAACAAAATAGTAGAAAAAGTATATGCACTAAAAAGAAATATTCTCATTATTATCCTATAAATATTATTAATAGGATAGATAATAAAGTAAATGGTAAATACTACTTTTAAAGGTACCAATTAAAAAATTACAAGTTAAAAAAAAAAAAACTTTAAACGGTGGCTACAAAACCTTAATAATAAAAGAAGAGGCATTAAGGAAGCAAACACGGTTTTGTTGTCTTGGTGGTAGTTGTTTGTTGACCTCGGAATTTAGTGTTTTTAATTATGATGATGATTCCAGAACGAGTCAAGTCTGTACAATAACAATGTGTCTGTCATTCATTTTCAAGTCAGCACAAAAACGCTAATGCCCAAACGATATGCCCACACCACACACAACATGTCAAAATGTCCAAACCACATAGTAAACTTTCCTTCATAGTAATTAATGATTTCTTTCTTGCTTAATCTACATTTACTTTCCTAATTTTACCGCTTCAAGTTTTCTCACCTAAATTTTAAAATTACATTTATTATCATTCAATTTTTTTAAAATTTTTCATATTTTATTATATGATAATTTAAAGTTAAACATTATTAATTAATTATTGATGTTTTATTGACAATTAAATATTATTAGTTAATTATTAACGTGATATATTAATTATTAATATAGCATATTGGTCGTTAATGTTGATCATTGACTTATTTTTAAATATTGTTAATATAACACATTAATTGTTAATGACCGTGTAATATTATTATTTATATGTTGTATATTCAATTTACATAAATATTCAATATGTCATGTCAACAATCAATAATGATATTAATCGTAATATATTTTATTAGTAATCAATTAATAGAATAATAAAGTTATGCAAAAAAATTAAAATTTGATGACACAATGTATAAATTTAAAAGTGAAGTGACAAAATTTATAAAATTATAAAATTTAAGTGATAAAATGTGTAATTAAATTATTTTTTTTAATCTCAATTATTTTATATTCTCGTTTGTTAACTTTCACATAATTCTAGTATTCCTGAATTATTATAAGTTATGATTATATATATATGATAATTTTGTATATTAAGTCTTTTTTTAGTATATATTGAATTGTTTGTAAATTTATGTAGGAATGTTAAAAGTATACGCGAGAATGATTATTGTGTGAATAATTATTAAAATATGTAATGATATAAATTTTATATCTTATAAATACATTACATGAGTATTTTAAAGTGTTTTTATCTATTGAAATGATAAATACATGTTTTGAATTAGCTGTTCACAAATCACGATTGTATAATACTTTTGCAGCGCAAATAGTATTTGACAGCCCAAAAATCCACTCCTCTTTTCGAGATTTTTACTTTTCTGTAGTTCTTTATTCGCAAGATTTTGTCACGTAAGATATAAATTTCACCTTTACGTATAAAGCTTTTGTCATAAACGATCTTAATCATTATGTTTTTCATGAAAAATATTTCATCAGCTTTTAAATATCAGTAATTTTAAAGTTGAAAATTTATTTTATTTATAACCTTATAAAATTAAGGAAACTTTATTTTATGGTTTCGCTAAATTTCGATTACTAAACTCCACACTCTTTTTTTTTCCATTAATCTACACACTTCTTTTAATACATTTTTTAATTAAAATTTAATAAAATATTAAAATATTTTTTAATCTCTATAATTTCATTTATTTTATCTTTTAATTTTTATATTTTAAAATATATATTTTTAATTTCTATATTTATTCTTTTCAATTATTAGTAGTCCTTATAATTTTATATAAATATTTTTAGATCTTATACTTTGAGTTTTTAAATCCTTTTAATCTCAATTTTTTTTTGTAAATTCAATTTTTTGTTAATATGATAGACCTGTAATAATAGGTGTCTTCAATTTGGTGAGCTAAAAAAAATGTGTCAATAATAGATGTAGTATGTGAAAGTATAAAAAAAAAACATAAAACTTTAAGACGTTTAATTTAGAGTAATTTCGCAAAAATATTTTATTATGTCAATATAAAAGAAATAATATTAAAAAAATTAACAATAAGAATTAAAATGATAAAAAAAAAATAATGTATGAATTTAAAAGATTTATCTTAAACCACATTAACTAAAAATGATTGAAAAAAGTAGATTTATATACTAAAAATGACTATTTTAAACTATAGAAAATAATAGGTAAAATGAGACCGTGTAAACTAAAAAAAATATTCTAGCCTTAATGAAATCACAAGATTAGAAAATAAGATCATCAAATAGGATGTGGAATAGGATAACAATGTGAGTTGAATCTAGTTGATCAATTAATCAATTTGACTATTTTTGTGGATTAGGTTAGATGAATAAACTCACCGATTAACTTTGCTCTACTTGTCAACTCAATGGGTCAATCCTGTAACGACCCGGCTGGTCACTACACACGGTATAGCACCCCGACGCAATAACGAACAACAACCCTCAAACTTCAAAAATTTCACCCAAAACCTGCAAAATCAACCAGCTCAAACACATGCAATCCATCCAATGAACCACATTTTCAGCATACAACCCAAAAATCAACACTTTATCAACATGCAACCATTAAACACTCAAAAAAAATCCCAAATTTTTATCATTTTTCCAAAAACCCCGAAAACAAGCACTCTTCGTAATCGACCTTCAATCACCACGAATCAAGCAACCTTGAGTTACTAAACTCATTACCAAGAATATGCAATGGAACCTAACTTCCCTTACCTTAGAGGAGAAGAATCCGAGCTTCCGGGAAGAGGAGGAGAAGGAGAGGAAGCTTGGAAATGGGACTTCGGGAAGAAGGGAATCGGCACCCTCACCTAGCTCCGCACACCTCTAATCAGCACCTACAGCCACCAAGGAATTTAGAATCCGAACAAAGCAAGTGAATGGTAAGGAAGAATGAGAAAGAAGGTTATGTTGAGAGGGAGAGAAATGAGAACGGGAGAGGGTCTCAGAAGTTTTATTTTTTCTCTTTTATAATTCTTATTTTCAATATATTATTTTAATTGTTTAGTTATTCTTAAGTAATAAAAAAACTATGTGATCACATAAAAAGTAAATAAAATAAATAATTTTAGAGAAATATAATTTTAATGCAGTTAAAATTTTGAGAGAAATTAATTTTTGACAAAGTCGATAAATGCTCTTGTCAATATGATAATAAATAAAACAATTCAAAATGAAGATAGATTAAAAAAAGATGTAATTATTATTTAAATGAATAAATATATTTTCAACGTTGTCCACATAATTTCTAAAAGAAACAATTCAAATCAATAAATTTGTTATATGTTTGGTTTCATATATTGAGTGTAATATTAATTTTTCACATTTCAAATATTTTTTTTTCTTAAAGAAATTCTAAACACACTAATTTTGTGAACATTAACTTTTCTTTTCATTTGACACAATATTAGTGTCGTAAAGTATTCAATAAATTTGCCGATAATTAATTATAATTAGAAAATTTAGTTAATCAAATTTAATATAATCTTCTTTTCAATAACATTTTTTTTAAAATACAAATTTAAAATCATATTTAAAAGATATGTGTTTAATTATACCAAAACTTTTATTTGAGTTAATAACTACATATTTTTGTACCCGTACAAATTTTACACACACACACACACACACATATATATATATATATATAGCGCAATAGGATTTGCGCCCGGCCTAGACCAACCAGAGAGCTCCAAGGCTCTTATGAGCCCGGCACAATTCTAATTGCGCCCGGCGCAATAGAAGGTAGAGACTCTCAAGAGTCTCACAAGCTTGACGTACCAAATCTGCGCTCAGCGCAAGTAAGGCAAAGACCTCCCCAAGGTCTCACGCCCAACGCA